CTCAAAAAAAAAAAAAAAAAGAAATTTTTGCCTAATCTAGATCCTTTGTATTTTCATACGAACTTTACAGTTGGCTTAGCATCATCTACAAAAATATCTTGCTGAGGTTTTGTTTTGTTGTTGGTTTTTTTTTTTTCCTTCTTTTGAGACTTTCTGTCACCTGTGCTAGAGTACAATGATGTCATCATAGCCCACCACAACCTCAAACTCCTAGGCTCAAGCAATCCACCTGTCTCAGCCTCCGGGACTATAGGCATATGCCATGACACCTAACTAATTTCTCTATTTTTAGTAGAAGTCTCGCTTTTTCTCAGGCTGGTCTCAAACTCCCGTGCTCAAGCCTCCCAAAGTGCTAGGATTACAGGTGTGAGCATGCAGATGAGGTTTTGCTTCATATATTCTCTTCATCCTTTTAAAATAAGATGACTCTCTAGTGATTTGACCTCTCATTCCTAATTTTGGTAATTTATATCTTTTCTCTTTTTTTTTCCTGATCAGTCTGTCTAGAGGTTATCAAATTTGTCTTCTCATTGAACTTTTGGTTGTATTTCTGTTATAGTGTTATAGTTAATGTATTTCCTTTCTTATTTCTCTTTTCTGCTTACTTTGTGTTCTGTTTGCTCATCCAGTTTCTGAAGGTGGAAGCTGACATTACTGGTTTGAAACCCTTCCTCTTTGCTAAGGTAGTGGTTTAGTATTACACGTTTCTGTCTAAGTACTGTGAACTCTCTCAAGGCAGTAAGCTGGACAGTTGCAGGGTTCATCTTATTTCTCATCCCTCAAGGATAATTGTTCTTCATTGTCTGATATTCAGTATCTTCAAAACTGTTACTTCACATATTTTTTCCAATATTTTGGTTATTTTAGGACAGAGTGAATCTGGCTCTTGCTACTCTATCTCTGTAAGGGGAAGTTCTATGATGTAATTTACTTCTTGTTTTAATTTTAGTGTCTACTAGAACTCCAGAATGAAGCTGTTTTCATGTGGACTGCCGAACTGGAAAATATAGCCACTCTCTGCTTTAAGGCCTTGGAAAATTCAAATTATGGAGTGAGAGTGGCAGTGTCTAAACTCTTAGGAACAGTCATGGCTACAGCATTGATGCCAAAACAGGCAACAGGTATTGTTTGACAATCCTTATTTTGACTGTAATAGATCTTTGAATGTTTATAGAGTGCTTCCTTTTTTTTTTTTAAACAGAATTTTGTTCTGTTTCTCTGGCTAGAGTGCAGTGTTGTCATCATAGCTCACTGCAACCTCAGACTCCTGGATTCAACTGATCCTCCTGTCTCAGCCTCGCAGAGTGCAATAACTACAGGCATGAGCCTATTTGCTAATTTCTTACTTTCAGTCTCTGATGTGTAGATTCTCATTTATACCACAGTTTTAATTTTCACTTTTTGGGGACCATTATTTTAAGCAGAAACAAGGCACATTGACTTTTTCAAGTGACTCTGGCTTTGCCCCACAGTTCCACAGAGACGTCTCAGAGGTGAGCAGGTAATGAGTGAGCCAGTCTGCCATTGTCTCAACCCCTATTCCACCTCTGTGTAGTAGAAGGAGAACCAGGTGGTTCAGGTTCAAGTCCTCACTTTTATTACCTGTGAAACCCTATTTAGTATCTTTCAGGTTCCTGCTCTTTGTCTTTAATAGTAATTATTTCATTAGGTGATTATGTAACAGTTTAAAGTGCTATGTGCCAGGTGCCAAATTAAATACATTACAAAATTTAATTCTCACAAAGGCCTATGAATTATAAGTACTGTTGTTATTACCATTTTATAGGTCATGAAATTAAGGCTTAGACAGCTTGTATAACTTATGTCCTAAAGAGTGTTCTAATAAGTGTCAGAATTGAAATTTAAACACAGACAGCCAAATTCTGTGGCCTACATTCTTAATTATAAGCTTTATACCTTCTCCATAGAATTTCTATGAGTATTGTGTTTGCTACTTCATGGGAAAAGACTTTATGGAATATGAAGATATTTGTAAGATATGAAGGTGGTTTGATTCCCAGTGACATTTTAATCCATTGGTAACTACTATATAGAAAACACTATTTTGAGAAAGTTTCTTTTTGTTCATCTCAGTTGGGAATAAGAGCTGTGATCAGTTAGTAGTTTCTGCTGTGAATGTGCTGTGTCCTTGTTTCACATATAATATTAAATTTATCATCATTATTAGACTATGGGGCTTAGATTTATTGAATTGCATTTGTTTTCTAGCTCCTTTCATTTTTTTCTTAACATGTTTTGCTTCAAGGTCTATAAGAACATTGTAAATTTTAAGAAAAAAAATGTTCTTTTTTTTTTTGAGACAGAGTCTCACTATGTCACCCTCAGTAGAATGCCGTGGCGTCACAACTTACTAAAACCTCAAACTCTTGGGCTTAAGTGATTCTTTTGCCTCAGTCTCCCAAGTAGCTGAGACTACAGGCGCCCACCACAACCCCCGCTATTTTTTTGTTGCAGTTGTCATTGTTGTTTAGCTGGCCCAGGCTAGGTTTAAACCCACCAGCCTTGGTGCACGTGGCTGGCGCAGTAACTACTGTGCTATGGGTGTTGAGCCTTTAAGAAAAATTTTTATAAGGAAACTAAACCCTGTCCTATTGTAGTAAATTATCCTTTAAAATAAAACTTGAGGGCAATGCCTCTGGCTTAGTGGGTAGGGCACTGGCCGCATATACTGAGGGTGGTTGGTTTGAACCTGGTCCCAGCCAAACTGCAACAAAAAAATAGCTGGGCATTGTGGTGGGGGCCTGTAGTCCCAGCTACTTGGGAGGCTGAGGCAAGAGAATCACCTAAACCCAGGAGCTGGAGGTTGCCGTGAGCAGTGATGCCATAGCTCTCTACCGAGGGGCGATAGAGTAAGACTCTGTCTCTAAAAAAAAATAAATAAAACTTGAATTTTAAGCTAGATTAGCAAAAGATATGCTTCAGAAATATATTTTCTTATGAATTCACTTTTCTTTGTGAAAGTAATGCGTCAAAATGTGAAGCGAGCCACATTTGATGAAGTCTTAGAACTCATGGCTACAGGATTTCTACGTGGAGGGTCAGGGTTCTTGAAGAGTGGTGGAGAAATGTTAAAAGTTGGAGGATCTGTTAATCGTGAAGTGAGAGTTGGAGTTACACAGGTTTGTAACATACGTAGAGATAATTCTGTTTGTCACTTGTGAGGTTTCATGGGAAATTTTAACTAAGTTAATAGCACATACGAAGAGATTTTTAATATTGTCTGGTTCTTTTAAAGCATTTCTTTTATGAAATTAATGAAATATGTTCAGTTTTCAAATTATATGTTTATATGGAAAGGTCAGTATTTAATGATGTATAAATAAGCCTATGTCTATTATATTCATATAAATAGCTAAAAAAATTGTCCCAGATTAAACTTGTCAGAAAATCAATATGTAATCATTCAATATTAATTAAAGCTGTATTCAAGTAGCTTGCATCCTGTAGATTTTAATGTTCTCTAAGGACCTTTCAGCTAAAAATATTGGTTATTTCTTTGATTGGTTTTTCTATGGATGTGTGTACCAGTGTAATTGTAAGATTAAATCTGACTTGAAATTACAATTTAAAAATAATGATTGACATCAAGTAAGAAGCCATAATTAATGATCTAATAATAATTAACACCTATTAAGATGAAATGGTGATCATAGTCAACATCATAATTTAAGTCAAAATTACTACAGTGCTACCTTGACCTTGAACAGGAATAAAATAGAAGTAAATGATTTTATCTTACACAGAAAGTCATAAACAAGTGTTTTTTAGTTCTAAGTGTGTATCTATTTAAGATGTTAAGGTTTTCTTATTCTTATCATCTGTTACTTTCCTGATCACTACGGTAAATTCAGCTTTCCTTCCTCCCCTCACTATTCTCTTTCTGTTCTTCATGGAACAATTATCTTTAGAATTATTTTTTATCAAGGATACTTTACCACGAATTCCTATATCAAAAGTACTAAAATTCTCTGTTAGCCTCAAATGTAATTTATTCTGCGTGCTGTCATCAGTCATTTCTGTACTTTATCTGTGATTATTGTTTACTTATATAAATTTATGTGAAATTTTATCTTTATTTATAGGCATATGTTGTTTTTGTTACAACATTGGGTGGTCAGTGGTTGGAGCGTAGCTTTGCTACATTCTTGTCCCATGTACTTGATTTGGTTTCCCACCCTCGGGCAACACAGACACATGTAGAGGCTGTGTACTCAAGACGATGCGTCTCCTTTATCCTAAGAGCTACTGTGGGCAGTTTACTAGGTGAAAAAGCCCAGATTGCAGCTGCCAAAGAAATATGCCAAGCTAT